CGCGCTTCGCGCAGCGCGAAGCGCGAGGTTGGGAGCCCTAGCTGAAGCCCCACCCTGACGTTCTGACTGCGGACTGCGAAGATGTCGCCAAAGAGGCGAACTCCACGACCGTGGGAGGCATCGCGGGTGCTTTTTGGGAATCGGGGTGCCCCGCTTGCCAGACTGCCCATCGACGACTCGCACCTGGGCGCCGAGCGCCCGCGGAGCTGCGATAACACGCTGAGCGCGGCCCCCGCCGCGAAGATCTGCATCCGCGATCCCCCGAAGTCCAGCACCGCAGCAGCAGCGGCTCACTGCGACGCGGCCGATGGGCGACAAGCGCGCGCGGGCCCAAGCGCGGCAGGCACGCGCCACCCATTGCCCTCGCGATGGCGGCAGCTGGCGACCGCGGGCATCTCGCCCGCGACGGCGCGGGGACTTGGGAAAACCCTTCGGGGAGTGGCCGGCCCCCAACGGCGCGAAAATCACTGCCGGCGGCAAATCCAACATGGAGACCGACCCGATCGACTTGCACAGCGCTGCCCAAGCGCACTGGGTGTCGGCGTTCGCCGAGAAGAAGAGCAACGAACAGGGCGCGATGCAGGGCCTGGACACGGCCCCCCCCGCGAAGGCGACCATCGACACTGCGATCCCCAGCGGGCATGACCTCGGATCTGCGGCCCAGTATGCGGCCGACTCTGCTCCTGGCCCCGACCACTCACCACGAACGCCCGAACATGCCTCCGAGAGGAAACCCTCAGAACGCTCTCGGCGAGGCGCGACGGAACCCTGCACGATGCTCCCTGTCCTCCTCCCTCCCCCCCCGCTGCCCCTCCCCTGGCTCCCTCGTCCTCCCCCCGCCGCCCCCCTGCGCGAGGAGACGACGCCGCCCGCGCCGCTGGCGGACCCGAGCCCTGCGGGGAGCCAGCCGCGAGCGAGCGCCGTGGCTGGCAGGCCGGCGGGCGGAGTCGAGGCACGGCGCGGTGGGCGGTGGCCTCCACCATGGGGGCAAGCGGGTCCAGAGGGGAAGCTCGGCGGCGCGCACAGGGGGGCATGGGGAGGGGGGAAGGCTTTTTAGAAGCACCCCTGCTTCTCAGAAGGCGCGGGCCTTGTCTACAGATGTATTGCCGGCGCCTTCTAAGAAGCAGCCTCCTTCTAAGAAGCCCTCCCCCCTCCCCTTACCCCCCTCTGCGCGCCGCCAAGAAGCGGGTTCTCAGGTTTGTTGCAGTCTTCGGGCTCCCGGGGGGCTCCCCGACGGGCCCTGGGGCGATCGGGGAACGGTTCGGGAGGAGAGCCTGGTCTCGGGGGCAGGCCCCGGGGTGTGAGACCCGTCTCGCTCAAGAGTTTGGCCTCCCAGTGCGGACTTCCTCCCGAGGGCGCCAGATCTCCGTGAGGGAGTGGTGAGGCTTCGGGTTGCGCACGCAGCCCCCCAGGTAGTCCCGGCTGGCCTCGACAGGCTCCCAGGTAGTCTCGGCCTCGGGGTGCCGCTTCGGAGCACTCGGGGGATCTGTTGGGGCAAGGTGGAACTTCTCGGAGGCCTCCCTTGGCCAGCTGGGACTGCCCAGGGGGCTGTCTGCACGCAGCCCAAAGCCTTACCAACCAGATCTCCGACGATACAGTGAACCCAAAGGGCTCTCAAAACTGTGACTGCGCAGTTCTTTTCCCGCCTGGCTTGAGGACGTGTTTAGTGGCTTCTAGATGTGAGCTGTGAGCCCCTGCGGCTACGGTTCGCATAACACATCCACGCAACCGATACACGCATGCATGCACACGTGCAGCTGCTCATGCAAAGTATGTTCAATTACGCGCTGCAGTGGCAACGATGCTCGGCAACGACGGACAAAAAAACACGACGGGGCGTGTTTGACAATGCTCAATTTCTGAAGGCCCTCACCAAGCCCTGGGACCTTCAACAAGGGCCCTCTTGGGGCTCTCTTGGGGCTCTCCTGGGAGCTTCGGAGGGCTTCCTGGGGCCATCTTGGAGGCCAATGATCAAAGGGGAGGGCCCGAGGCAAGGTTTTCCCAAACCAAACGGGTCTTCCCAAACCAGATGTTGCGAAACCAGACCGCCGGGCCTTCCCAAACCAAACCCCGAGTCTTCCCAAACCAAACGGGTGTTCCCGAACCAACCGGCCGGGTCTTCCCAAACCAAACGGGTCTTCCAAAATCAATTGGCCGAGTCTTCCGAAATCAACCGTGTCTTCCCAAACCATCCCCTTGGGCTTCCCAAGCCAAACGTGTCTTCACAAACCAAGCTTTCGGGTCTTCCCAAACCAACCGGGTCTTCTCAAACCAGCCCCCCAGGTCTTCCCAAACCAACAGGTTCTTCCCGAACACAACTCCCTTGGGTCTTATCCCCTTGTTCTCGCCTTAGTTTCGCTTTCGTTTCTGTCCTCGTTTCCGCCCTCGTTCTCGCCTTCGTCTCGCTTTCGGTTCGCCCTCGTTTACGCTTTCGTTCCTGTCTTCGTTTCGCCCTCATTTCCGCGCTCTTTCTTGCCTTTGTTCTCGCCTTCGTTTCGTTCTCGTTTCCGCAATCTTTCTCGCCTTCGTTCCGCCTTCGTTTCGCTCCGTTTCCGTCTTCGTTCTTGCCTTCGTTTTCTCCTGCTTTTCGCTGTTGTTTCGCCATCGTTTCCGCCCTCGTTCCCCCCTTCGTTCTCGCCTTCGTTTCGCCTACGTTTCCGCCCTCGTTCTCGCCTTCGTTCTCGACTTCGTTTCGCCGTTGTTTCCGCTCTCGCTTTCGTCTTCGTTCTCGCCTTAGCTTCGCCTTCGTTTTGCTCGCGTTTCCGCCGTCGGTCTCGCTTTCGTTCTCGCCTTCGTTTGGTTTCCGTTTCAAGTTTCGTTCTGGTTTCCGTTCTCGTTGTCGCCTTTGTTCTCGCTTTCGAATCGCCTTCGTTTCGTTGTCGCTTCCGAACTCGCTCCCGCCTTAGTCGTCGTCGTCGTCGTCGACGAGGTCGTCGTCGTCGTCGTCGTCGTCGCCGTCATCGTCGTCGTCGCCTTCGTCGCCGACGTCGACGTCGTCGTGGTCGCTGTCGTCGTCGTCATCGTAGTCGTCCTCGACGTCGTCGTCGTCGTCGTCATCGTCGTCATCGTCGTCGTCGTCGCCGTCGTCGACGTCGTCGTCGTCGCCCCCCCGCCGTCGCCGTCGTCGTCGTCGTCGTCGTCGTGGTCGTCGTCGCCGCCGCCGTCGTCGTCGTCATCGTCGTCATCGTCGTCGTCGCCGTCGTCGCAGTCGTCGTCGTCGCCGTCGTCGTCGACGTCGTCGTCGTCGCCATCGTCGTCGTTTTCGCCTCGGCTGGATTCCTTTTCGAAGGTAAGGTGACGGCGCACCTCCAGAACCCAGCCATGCAGTGTTGTCTTTTTGGCGACGTGGGCACCCAGGGGTCTGGACCCTTTCCCTAGGGCCCGTTTTTTGTCCCGAGTCGCCTTTTGACCGTCCTGGGGCCTGTTGAGGGCACCTGGAAGCCGGGTGCACGCGTGCCAACTCGATGATGCATCTCTTTCCGGTGTTCCGCCCGCTCGATCTGATCAACCCGTCAGGGTCCGCCCACCCGACCCGTCCCGCCCGCCCGACCGACCCGTCCGTTAGGGTATGCATGCGCCAACTCGATGATGCACGATGCTTCAATGTCCCGCCCGCCCAGCACGACCCGCCTGTTAGGGCACGCCTGCCCGACCTAATTTGCCTGTCAGGTTCCGCCCGCCCGACTCGACTCGCCCGCCCGACCGACCCGCCCGTTAGGCTGCAGTCGCGCCACCTTAATGATGCATTGGACTTGCGTGTCCCGCCCGCCCGAACCGACTCGCCCGTGATGGGCCGCCCGTTCGACCCGACTCGCCCCATGTTCTCGTTCTCGTTTCCGCCCTTCGTTCTCGCCTTCGTTCCGCGTTCGTTCCGCCTTCGTTTCCGCTCTCGTTCTCGCCTTTGTTCTCGCCTTCGTTTCGTCTTCGTTTGTCCTTGTATCCGCCCTCGTTTCACACCTTCGTCTCGACTTCGTTTCACCTTCGTGTCGCTCTCGCTCTCGTTCTCGCCTTTGCTCTCGCTTTGATTTCGCCCCCGTTTCGTGCTCGATTCCGTCTCGTTCTCGCCTTCGTTCTCGCCTTCGTTTCGTCTTCGTTTCGATTTGGTTCCCGCCTTCGTTCTCGCCTTGTTCTCGCCTTCGTGCCGCCTCTGTTTTGCCTTCGTTTCCGCCCTTCGTTCTCGCCTTGAGCATGAGCCTCAATGTCAAAGGAAATGCAGCGGGCGCTAAGGCAAGAGCGCCAAAGTGCGTATAGGGTGCCAACAATAATAGTTATGTAGTTATCACTATTCAATCATTTGACCCTGTTGCGCTATACCTCTGCATGCCACATGCATCCATCATGGTGCCCCCCCTCTTGAGGGAACTGTATGGAAAGGGGGCCAACATTCTCACACCCAGATCTCCCGCCCAAGGCGATCAAGCCAACACCTCTCCAGACATACTGTACTTTCCCACTTTCAGTTCGCACGCCACATTGAAAGAGCAGTGCGACCTGTGGGGAGCGGTGAGGATTCGAAACACGAAGGATTCGAGCCCCATGAGAGGGTCAGTGGGACCACACCTAAAACATTGATTCCAGCATCGAACACAAAGTATTTGAGACCCAGTCGAGGGACAATATATAGGAAATGACGCAATCCACAAAAGGGTTCGAGCCCTGGGAGAGGGGCACATACAAATGAACAAACGTACAACACGACGGATTCGATCCCCGTGTGAGGGGAGACGAAGCCTATGGAGGCGAAGTCGACGGGGGGCTGAGAAGCACTCCCCAACACACGTATCCCAATACAGAACAGTGGCTCCTGGGGCCTCCTCCTCCTTTTGGTACTCCTCCGCAGCCGTTGTGGCCCCAGCGGCCCAGGGGGCTCCGTGCAATGCCGCGTGCGGCCTCTCGCGCGCGCGGCACCTGGCGCGCCCTCTGCGCTGTGAGCCCGCCTGGCTCGCCGGCCTGACCCCCGCCGTGGATGCGCATCGCCGCTCGGGCTGTGCGCGCACGCCGCCAGCCAGCGGCGCCCAGGGCCTCGGCGGAGGAACAGGTACCGATGTCGATGCGTCTCCCCCGTTTCCCCTCTTGTTGGGCCTCCTTGGGGGTCCTTCGTCGCCACCGCTGGATTCGCCTCGAAATCCTCATCGGAACGCACCCCAGGAAAGGTCCGTGGAGCAGCGGCATCGGTACTTTCTCTGGTTCCCCCCAAGGGCCGCCCAGCGGGCCGTGCCGGCGCCGTGCCGGCGCGCAGCCATGAGCCGGGATCTGACCGTCTTCCGCGGCCGGCGGGACCAGGACCCGCCCGGCATGAGTGAGAAGGTGGAGCGCATCATGCAGGATCGGCCACGCGCAGAGGGGGGCATGGGGCTAGGGAGGAAGGCTTCTCAGAAGCAAGCACCCCTGCTTCTCAGCGCGGGCATGGTTTGTAGATTCTGCACGAACGACATGGGTACGGAAAGAGTGGGTAGAATGCCCAGCAGCAGGTCCTGTTCATTTTGAACAGGACTCGCTGTCTGCGCCGCCGCGGCCTGTGCCCATTTGAGACAGAAGGCCGCCTGCCCAACAGCGGCCGCTGTTGGTTTGGGACAACATTTTTTGTTGGGCACTGTGCCCATTCTTTCCGTACCCATTTCGGGCGTCGAAATAGATGTAGGGCCCGCTCCTACTAAGACGCCCTCCCCCCTCCCCCTACCCCCCCCCGTGTGCGCGCCGCCGGCAGGAGCAGGGCGTGAGCGAGCCCGTGGCCCGGAACCTCATCAAGTACGGCAAGTTCGGCATCGGGCCCATGGCGGGCGGCCAGCTCGCCCCGCAGGCCCCGGCCTCGAGGCCAGCGCCCTCGATGAAGGACGCCGCCGAGGATCGGCGACACGCAAGAGCGACCCTTGGCCAGAGTGACCTGTGGTGCGGGGCCAATTGGGGCCCCCCAGTCGCCGAAATCTGCCGAGTGCGAGGCGATGACGCCGGCTTGCGCGTCTGTGTGTTTGGCCCCGCAGGCGGACCCCGCGAAGCCGCGCACCAACGGTCACCCTTACCCAGGGTCGCTCTTGCGTGTAGCCGAGAGGAGAGGAAGCGCAAGCTCCAGGAGCAGGAGGAGCGGCTGCAGGCCCTGGAGAAGCAGCGGGAGGACGAGCGGCGCCACGCACCCCAGGCAGCGTTCAGCCCCTTCGAGCAGGCGGAGAGGCCGAAGGCGGCGCGCAGCGCTCCCCGCCTGGGCCTCATCAGCCTGGGGGCGGTGCAGTCGCGGCCGGAGTCCATCGATCCGCTCGCCAAGGTCGACGTTCCCGTGCTGGCCGAGGGCGCGGCGGGAGCCGCGGAGGACGGCCCCGGCGGCAAGGGCAGGCCGGCAGACGCCGTGACTGGTGCGGCGGCCCCGCAGCCATCTCGCGAGAGCGAGCACGCTCCAGAGAAGCGAAGGGTGTTCACGGAGGACGACAGGAGGAAGCCGCCCAAGAAGAAGAAAAAGAGGAGGAGAGAGGTTGGCTCCAGTGATAGCGAGGAGGCGGCGAATGGCGCGGCACAGGAGAGCGCCAAGAGAGCCAGGGAGGCCGCCCAGAGGCCGCCGAGGCCGAGATCTCCGAGCTCTGCGTCGGGTCCTCCAGAGCCGCCGCGGGAGGCGAGACCTGCTGCGAGCGGCTCCTTGATGACCGAGGAGCAAGTCAGGGCTATGATGGGCAAGGAGAAGGGGAAGAAACTGGAGCGCGGTTCTGCGCGAGCGAAGGCGCGGATCCAGAAGGAGATGCAGGAGTGGGAGTCCACCAAGAACAGCAACCCAGAATTCTGGAAGGCGCCCAAGTTCGCACTGTGCTACTCTGGAGAGACAACGAAGAATCGGAACTACTGATTCAGCTCGACGGCCGCGGGGACGCGAGGTTTCTCCTCTATCCGGGCGACATCAGCTGACCATGCCGATCCTGGCCAGTCCAATGCTGGGCCCAGGATGATTCAGCTCGACGGCCGCGGGGACGCGAGGTTTCTCCGCTACCCGGGCGGCATCGGCTGACCATGCCGATCCTGGCCAGACCAATGCTGGGCCCAGGAGGGCCCCCCCCAGGGTCGTGGAGGTGGGAGGAGGAGGAGGAGGAGGAGGAGGAGGAGGAGGAGGAGGAGGAGGAGGAGGAGGAGGAGGAGGAGGAGGAGGAGGAGGAGGGAAGGAGGAGGAGGAGGAGGAGGAGCAGGAGGAGGAGGAGGCCCTGATTGCACGGCCTCACCTTTATTTCGATCCCTGCCTGGGCCCCCCCTGGGCCGCGCACGTGTCTCGGGCCACGACTTGCGAACCCCCCTCTTGGACGCACCCCCCTCTCCCAGACATGCAATGTCTTGAGTTGTTCAGTGCGCGGTCTGCGGAAGTCCCGACCCTTTCCCCGGGCCCTGGTAATTGGTTCCTTGACGGGTCCCGGGCCCGGCAAGGGCCCCTGGAGGCCGAAAACGACCAGAAGCCTCCCGCCGTGATTTTTCTACGCGAGCACTGCTCGCATGTTTCGGACGCAAGCATGGGCAGACATGCTCACGTCCGAGACCCATGCGTCTATGCCATGCCTGCATGGGTCTTGGACGCTCCGGATTCTCGGCTGACGTCTCCCGACCTCCCCCGACCAGTGCTTGGCCAGGTCCCGCTGACGCACAGGACCCAGCCAGGATCGCCCTGGCCAATCCGATCCTGGCCACTCCTGGCCATTCCGATCCTGGGCAATCCGATCCTGGGCCCAGGACGAGACCGACCAGGATCGGTGAGGTTGTCGGCTGACGTCTCCCGGCCAAAGCCCAGGCACGCCTCGCTGCAGGCCGTGACCTCTTGGCAGGCGCGATCCTGTGCTTGCGTTGGGGGGGCCGCCGTCTGGCCGCAGCAGTTCCTTCCGCGCGCCAGCCGATGCTCTCCTCCTCCCCCTCATCATCCTTCTTCGGCTGCGGCTGCGGACCTGGCCCTCCGTGAGGATGCGGCCCTCACCCCTTCCCTGCGCACACAATGTCCTGGCGGGCAGGGAGGGGTCATGTTGAACACGGCCAGATCTGGCCGTTGGGGCCGTCGGGCGCGACGAACAGGGGAAGGGAGACGACACGGAGGGCCAACAGGGGCGAAGCGAGGGACGGGTGCACGAGCGCGGGAGGGCGAGGAGCAACGAGACGCGTCGGTGGCGGCGGGCGCGGTTCTGCGGGGTGTCCGATCCCCTCGGAAATCCTCCTCCTCCTCCTCCTCCTCCTCCGGCAGGGGCGCCAGCAAAAACATGACGGTTAACCGACTCACAAGCACAGAACGGAGAACGGAAAGTGCTGAAGAGTGGGTCAGAAGAGGAACAGGCGCCGATATGTAATTACCGTTATACCATTCCCTCGTTTTCGCAACTGGGGGCATTTGGGAGGCCCTCGTCGCCACACGCCTGGATTCGCCTCGGCATTCCGGTCGGAAAGCACCCTGGGAGAGGTATGGGAAGCAGCCGTATCGGCATCTTTCGGTCCCCCCACTGGGGACGTTTTCACGACACTTTGCTGGGCGACGGGCACTTGCAATGCTGAGGGATTCAGTGGTGACGTGCTGCGCAGGGGCCTGCGCTGTGCTGTATGATGCTTAATTCAGATGCGTTATGCCGAGTGGAACCCAGCTGTGCTTTATTCTGCACGAACGAAATGGGTACGGAAAGAATGGGTACAATGCCCAGCAGCAGTTCCTGTTCATTTTGAACAGGACTCGCTGTCCGCGCCGCCGCGGCCTGTGTCCATTTGAGACAGAAGGCCGCCTGCCCAACAGCGGCCGCTGTTGGTTTGGGGCAGCATTTGTTGTTGGGCATTGTGCCCATTTTTCCGTACCCATTTCGGTCGTCCAAATATATTGCGGTGTGGACCAAGTCGTTCTTGGCATCGGACTCCTGACCGAACTGATCTGCACTTTAGGCTCGAGCTGCCTGACCGGATAACTAGCTCTCCCAGAGTTGGTTGCACTCGAAACGTGAGGGCTGGGGTGGGGACTTTAAACGGAGAAGGTTAAAGGCGAGGTATAAATCGAGCATGTACCGCTGCCGTGCCTGGCTCAAGCCGGGCCCGGCCAAATATATGACTGTGCCTCACCGAGGCGCACGACTGGTATCTGAGATCGGAAAATACCTTTTCCATTGAAGATGCCTCTTCTATCCTTTACTCCAGATCCCATGCTTCGTCTCGCTCTCTTGCTCATGCGATATGAGCCAAAGCCTGGGATATGGCAACGCTTGAAGCGTAACACATACCTAAGCTTACCAGCATGTTTTCGACTTGGTAGCGGAGCTGGCTACACTCTCGTGTGGCTGGCTCTCGCTCTGATTCCTGTAATCCACGGCACAACTTGGTGGACTACTACTACGGTGGAATACCATGTTGCGCCGGCTCTGCGAGGAGCGGAGCCAGTCCGCGATCGAGCTAGCGGGGCAACCCGCGAACTCGAGACGCTCTCTCCTACTTCACTGCGCTACTTCACTCTCGACTTCCACCAGCTGCCAATCGGCAACTCGATCGAGAACGTGGTCACCCTGCGGGGCTACCCGCAGCGGGGCCACCTGCATCCCGTGCCAGTCAGGCGCCTCACGGCTACTACGCCAGAGCCTGACAAACCACAGCCTAAACCAATCACCGAAGCCGAAATGCACATGCACTGGATTAAGATAACTATCTTCGGCATTCTGTGGGTAATAATGGGATGTGCTGTGGGATACATGCGGCAGGGGATGGACGACACGCGTACTACTGGCCCTTCATGGGACCCTGCCGGTACTACGCCTTTTCGCGAATACGTTCGCGAAGTACATGCATGGATAAACGTAACGAGCGGCAATATGACGCCACCACAACAAGCTGCAGCACTACAACGAGGCCTTCAAGGTCTTGCTCGTCGTATCGCCATGCAGGTCCCCTCCCAGATCATCAACTATGGTGTAACTGTCAATGGACAGCCAACGGATGCAGTCACATATATACTGTACCTACTGAGCACCAAATTTGAAAATCTGGAAGATGAGCGCCAGCTCAACTCTGGCACTGCCCTTATCGACTTTCGCGTCGAAAGGGGCGAGCGAATCGACTCAGTGTTAGCTCGATTCGAGATGGCCCGTGACGAGGCTAACTCTGTTGGCTTTGTCATCCCCAACTTTCAGATCCTAACGCTGATTCTTTTCAGAGCGTTAGGCGTTGGCGCGTCACGAGCCCAACACCTGCTGGAGCCTTTTAATCATCAGATGCCCAGAACACAAGCAGACTATGACAGGCTGCTGACCAGGATGAGGAACTACGGACATGTTGCCGAGCGCTCTCCTGGCAACATTGCGGGTATCTTCACAGGGCACCACTCACATGCAGGTGTCTACGCCACGACTGCGGGGTCACCCGCTGGTCCTGGCGAGCCAAGTCCCTGGGCTGACCCAGCCGATATGCCCAACGAGGCCACTGCCTTCTTAGGGCAGACCGGCCAGGCATCGGCAGAGGCAGCTGAGGCGAACGCCTGGTCGAACTACTCGCCAGGCGCCGCCTACACTGCAAGCCCGCCCTCGGGCACAACCCTCTGGGGCCAAGCGGAGTCATCCGCTCAAGGGTCTCAGCCACCCTCACCGTTTGAATCTGGCACTGACACAGACACCTCATCTGACGATGAGCACAATGGCATAGTCTCTGCTGGTAATGACTATCCAGCGGATGACACTCACCTTTCTGAGCAACAAAGAGCGGAAGTCGCTTTTATGGCTTATCGCAAATCAAAACGCCGTTGGAGGCGCTCCATGAAGAAACCAGTCAGAAAAGTGAGACGTGCAGCACGCCGACATTTCAAACGATATGGAAAGGGTCGTGGCAAAGGGGGTCGCAGACGCCGTATGCATGGTAGGGGTATTACTGCTTTCCTCACGTCCTTAACTGATATAGTCTTTGAGGAAGTTCTTATCGGAGGCAAAGGTCGGGGTCACAGGCGGACCTCCGGTAAGGGAAAAGGGCGGAGGGGCAACCCTAGGGACGCTTCTGGCAATACTATGAAGTGTCATACATGCGGCAGCACAGAGCACTTGCGCGATCAATGCCCGAAAGGGAAAGGAAAGGGATCCGTACATTTGGCTCAAAATTCTTTTATGGATGACATAGACTACATTGACTACGAGTTTTACGTCAATCCAGAAGCGGCTCCCGCCGCGGGCTCCTCCACGTACTACGTGATGGCCCGCTACGCTGAAGTGACCGTAGCCCTGGAAGACTACGCAGTGACCCTCTTCGACGAGTTCCACGGCTGGGACGAAGTCGACGAGGTCGCGTTCAATGCTTGGTTCGGTCTTCCAGCGGGGCCACCCGCCGACGACGAGATCTCCGAAGCTGAGACCGTCCCGGCGACCGAGGAAGAGCTCACCGCCGCGCTGGCACCGCAGGTGATTGGCATGCCGTTGCTGCCAGATCTTCCGCGAGCTGGCTCGGAAGCGGGAGACGCTGATGACGAAATGCGGGGCCATCCCGCGTATTCTGACTCCGAAGAGGCCGAAGAGGACTATAAGGACATGCTCCAAGAGCAGGTCGCAGAAGCAATCCGGCTCCTGAGTGCGCCAGCACATCAGCAGATAACCATGAACGACCTGCTGTCGCGCCCAGGGGCCGCACGGCTGCGTCCATACCTGGATTCGGACATGTCGGCACCTCAGATGCTGACAGCACTCCAGGCTCTAGCGGGGTCACCCGCCGAAGTGACGCCAGCCGCAGCAGCGGGGCCACCCGCTTGGTCTATGGATGTATTTATGCAGGGCTGCGACCAGATGGACCTCAACGACCTCACGATGGAGCAGCTAAACGACATCGGGTACTTCCGAAGCCCGTATCAGCACGTATTCATGGTCCAGGACAGCTCAGAGGACTCGGAGGACATGCGCTATGCCAAGAGGGACAGACGACCATCGCCTCCCCGAGACTCAGAGCATGACGATCAAAGGCCCATGGAACGTGGTAGTGCGTCAGCGGGGCCAGCCCGCAGGAGGAGCCGTTCAGCTCCCCGACGCCCTACACATGATGCATCGGGCTACCCGTACAGTACGGAGCACTCCGTTGGTGTATCCGCTCAGTACGTGCCGGAGTGGTACATCAATTGGTACCCCGGCTACTCGATGGACGTGATCCGCCACTGGTATTCTAAGGAATACTGCACCAAAAGGGACGAAACTGGCATGATAATACGCACCAAGGGTGGCAAGACCAAAACGCCAGAGGCTTGGGACAAAAGGGCTAAGAAACAGGAGATCATCAACGATCGCAAGACATACAGAAAACAAGTATGTCAGTGCGAGCCCTTCAAAGGTCACATGCGCAGTTGTCCAATGGACCGCCCCTCCAGGAGTCCTCATCACGGTGAGACCCCGTGGAATTGGTCTCATGGAGATGACGCTGGCAACGTCCATGATCCTAACAAGGAGGTCCCTGGAGGAGGAAAGCGCATCACAGAAGCCGATCGCGCCCCTATGACCGAAGAGGTTGCCAACACTGTCAGGGAAAATTGGGTACAGCTTCCCAATGACCATCGCCTCAAGGAATGGAACCGCCGATTCCATAAAGAGGCGGGGTCACCCGCAGGATCCAGCAAAGAAGCGGGGTCACCCGCAGACGCGGCGCCAGCCGCTGGGTCCGCGGACGAAGATTGGATAGCTGTTGCATCTGCTGCCGGGTCCGCCGCCGGTACTGACCACACCGAACTGAATGAAGAATGGGCGGCGGAAGACGGCTCAGAGAATCCATTCCCTGATGGATGCGCCTGTTGGTACTACAGCTCCTCGGCGCAGAAGTGGTTTTGCACGAGGGTAATTCACCGCCACGAAAATGGCAAGTACAAGCTGGCCATAAAAGGTACTGCCGACATCGACCAGATGAGGCAGATCATCCATGATCATGGCCAGCCAGAAGGCCCTCCTAAAGACCCTCCTGGTCCACAACCAGGCAAGGGCAGCAGACCACCTCCAAGACCTGAAGCCGACTCCTCGTCTTCACCGACTCCTGC